TGGATCGGAGTCCGGCTGAAATGATATAGACGTGATGGGCTCTGTCGAGATCTATCATTTGGTACCAACACTGTCTGAACATCTCGTTTTGGAGACAAGTTATCTGCCGGCCCGCCATCTGCCCGGGCCGGCCCGTTTTCAACTATGGAGAAAAGAGAAATACCGGTGGTAGTGGCCAAAGGTCCCACAACTACAACTACCGTAATCCATAAACAATTTTGTTTTCTGAATTTATTGTTTCAATTTTCGTGTGTTTTCAGTCAATTTTGTTAGTATTAAAAATTGTTATTTTCCGACTTTTTCGTTGGAAAAATAACAGAAAAACAGATGAAAATCAGTTAAAAAACGGGGAAAAAATCCGGAAAATGTAATTATTTTTTGGTTACGGTAGTTGTCGTTGTGGGACCTTCGGTCATATTTTTTCGATTTTTCGACGAATTTCATCGATCTTAAACATTTTCTTCGAAGAAATCGAAAAATATCCAATTTTGTTTAAAAAATTAGTCGAAAACCTAAATTTCCGGCTTTAAAATTCCCATTTTTCAGAACAAATTGCATATTTTCGCGGATAAAAACGACGAATTTAAGATTTTCAACAAATTTCTAATTTCCTCCCAAAAAACCGTACAAAAATCGATCTATTTACCAAACCAAAAAACCAGCTGACCTAAATAAAAATTGCTATATTTATTTTCGAAATTTTTTTACTGATGATGATGGAGAAGCGTTAAATGTCAATGTTCTCTCGATCAGTCAGTGATAACTCTGATTTAAAAAAAAGAGGCATGAGCAAGAATTGTTGTTTTCTCTCGCCGCTCCAAACGAAAGAAATCATGTGACGTCTTATTAAAATTGCAGAAAATTCTGTTTTTACTGGAATTTTCCGTTCGTTCCCTGAAGTCTTTTTCCGCGAATTTTAGAGTTTTTTGGTCATTTTTTCTCCTTTTTTCGAAATTAAAAAAAAAGACCACACCCAAAATTTTTACCCCAAAAAAGACCATGAAAAAGAAAATCAATTTGGGTGAATCATGAAAAAAAGGTTAACAAAAAAAAACAACAAAACAACGTTAACAACAAAAAAATAGAGAAAACGAGTGAAAATGAGAAGAGACGAAGTTCTCTCTCTCCACTAACCAGCTGTCCAAAATTTCATTTGAGACGCAGGTTGAACGAAAATTGTAAGACTTAGCAATCACTATTTCGAAACACTTTTAGTTTACTAGAGAGGTGGTGTGACGATTCAAAGGATGGGAAAATAAGTGATACTCGGCACTTGTGATCGAATACACTCTATTGATTTTTGAAGACTTATGAAAAAAACAAATACATTTATTAGAAGAATAGAACGAATGAAAGACACAATATTAACATAATGCTAAAGAAACCCGTAAATATACAAGTGAGAGATACCAAAAAATCAATCAAACTCCATCATTTCCTCATCACTGACACTTCCATTCGTCAAACTGTTCGGCGAGCCGGGGTCCAGTTCAACGATATGAGTGGAGGAGCCAATTGGCGATGGGATCGGGGAGCTCCACGATGAGCCAATGTCACTGTGATCGGAGCCGGAGCCCAGCTCTACGATGCCAATGGTCTCTTCTTGACGAGAAGTGTCCTCATCGACCATCCCCTCGTTTTCAATGATTCGAGACTTGATCTCCTCGTTTAAACGTTCTTCCTCCTCATCGTCAATCTCCTGAATTCGACCGAACATGTTGTTGTCATTTTTGGGCGAAACGAGGATCGTCGGCTGCCAGATCGCTACTTCGTTGCCTTTCAGTGTTTCGGTTCTGGAAAATGAATTTAGGTTTCCTCTCTAAATCAAGAAAAAAACTCACTTTGGCAGAAAGGCATACGGATCTTGCTTGCACTTCTCCAAATACTTTTGAAGCGATCCATCCAACCGAATCTTCTTGGCAACAGCTGGCTCGTCATCTGGCTCCACGACTACAGGTGTAGACGTCGACTCGATCTCCTCGTCGTATTCTGGAACCGTCACCTCGTCCATCTCTTCGTCAGATGAGGACTCACTGAAAAATCCAAAAATTAATCATTCAAAAGTCTTAAATGGCTTAAAACTTACAGATTTATAGGATTCGGTTTGTCGTTGGAGATCGAGAAGCTCTCCAGACACGCACTTATTTTATCATATCGTCGCTTCGTTCTCGGCACATATTCCATGTCCTAAAAATGCATATATTAAGACTTTGAAGCAGAATTAAAAGGGTTTAGGCTAGATTTTGAGGGACACTAGACATCTGGGGAGGTCCAGGTGATCACTGTTCATTTTGACTGGTTAGAGGTGGGTGGTAGAAGAGAAGAAAAAGCGAAAGAGAGGTAATCTGCTTAGAAGCGAGAAGGAACGAGGCGTGCCGGTGCCGGCGCATCAAGAGGAGGGCGACACACCCGGCGAGAGAGAAAGCGGAAGTGAGAGAGCGCAGAAAGACTCGGTGAACCTCACCGAGGACGCCATATTTCACGACATTTCTTTTCTCGTTCCATGGAAATGCGCTCAATCAGTTTTGTATAGAAACTAATGGGGATTGGAACGGGGAAAGAGAGAGAAAGAGTGAGGAGAGATAACGGAACGGATAGAGTCTATCATAGAGATGGCCAAATTAGCGAAAACAAGAGAGAGAGAGAGCGGCGGCGGCGAGAGCGCAAATATTTGATAAGGCCACCTCTTGCCTGAAATTGTTTTGCTAAAAATTCAATGTTATCGCTGATTGAAACTACTGTAGCCAGTGTGTCTACCGGTGAAAACAAGAGCTATTTTTCTGTTGAGCGCTTACAGATCCAACTGTTTAAAGACGCCACGTCGAATTCGTGGCAAGACCTAATCTTCGAATGTTGGGCTTAAGAAAATATGGTTAAAACCTAGAAAAGAGGCAATTTTATATTTCTAAAGTGTTGAAAAAAAGAGAAACGCCACCTAGACAAACTACGATCAAGTTTTTGAAATCGCCAAGGCCAAAAAAGGGCGCCAACTCGATTTGGACGGGGTCGTCCCTTTGGACAGCTGCTGTGCTAGCAAATCGGAACGCACGCGATTTCTCTAATTTTGGGGGTTCCTAAGAGACCATCTGCCCCTCGAAGCTTAGCCTATTCCCGCTCGATCATGCAAGGCTAAATAGGGTAGGAGTCCATGAATCAACATGTGATTCGGGGCTTCGTCGCTCTCTCGCCACGCCTTCTTCTCTCTCAAATCTATCTCGGGTTATTCTTTTTTTTGTAGTAATAGTGATATTAGATTTTTTTTTCTTAGTTATTGGGCTCACTACCGCATATTCCACCTCTATTTGAAGAGCTTAAATTGTCATTTTTTCAATTTTTTTTGAAATTCAGAACATCAAAATGTGTAGCAAAATATTTAGATTCCCATAGCAACTCCAGAAAAAAATTTTAAAAACTTGCAAAACCTTGAGAAATCGCTTCAAAAGGCGAATAAATATCAGTTTTCGTCTCTTTCTGGAAACTTCTAGAAGGTTCTCGAATTTTTTTTCAAATTCCCGCCAAAACTGAAAACACTCATTTTTCTTTTCCGGGACTTTTTGCCTAAAATTTTAAGTTTTGACGGAAATTCAAAAACAATTCCAGAACCTTCTCGAAGTTTCCAGAAATGGACGAAAACTGAGAATCATGCGCTTTTTGAAGCAATTCTTCGAAGTTTTGCAAATTTTCGAATTTTTTGCTTTGGTTCTATATGAATCGACATTTTTTTAAACACATTTTAATCCAATAAAAAAATTTTGGTTGGAGCCCCCCAAATTTATCGAAGAAATGTCTAGAAATTCCTCTAGAAATTCAGCTATTACTCACCAATTCGAATTCGGTGGGAAACGGTCGTTTTCCGTTGGGCTCTCTTACATAATAATGAATATCGTCGATTCGCTGTGACGAATTATTGAGGGAGTCAAAATTATAAAATTGCTGTTGATAATTCGAGTTTTGTTGGTTCGAAAACTGCTTGAAGTTGCTGGTGAGTTGCGTCATTTGCTGCAAGATGAATTTGAATAGAAACAAAAAACGGTAAAAATGATGATGCGACACAGCTGCGACGAAAAAAAAATGAAAGGAAATTTGAAACGGAGATAAAAACGAGAACAATGGAAGGAAGACAGGTCTGATATTATGTCAATAGAATTTGCAAATAATTGTAGATCAAAATATAAAAATAAAGAAGAATCCACGGTCAGGAGGTTGGTGTTTTTGTACAGGCGAAACCGAGGTCTTCGGGAAGCGAGTAGATTGTTCTAGAAGGTTCTCCGCGCAACAAACCAATCGCTGAGGCCACGTGTAGAGGAGACAGTGGGTCAAGAGAAGAGACGCAGGCGAGCAGACGCCTGCCTGCGGCTTCGAAGTTTCGAGAAGGGAGAAGAATAGTCGGGAGAGGAGAATTCTCTTTTTCCGAAACGGATCACTTTTCGAGAAAAAAAAGAGAAAGTGACGATTGTGATTGTAGAATTGGGACGGGAGGGGGACGATATTCACACACCTTGCAAGGAGATTGATTCATCCTGTTGTTTTTTTGTTGATTGGGAAGCATCGAGAAGGGTCTTGAAAAGCAAATATTGGTTTTAAAAAATTCTAGAAAGACATCCATTTTCGGGTCAAATGAGGAACAGTTTTAAAAAATGTTTCCAAATATTCTCCAGAAAATTCTAACAAGCAAACGCGCTTCGGTGAACAGCGCGCGAAATTTCAGATTTCAAATTTTCTCGGACCGCCAACTTTTTCCTGAGAATTTTCATCGGATTTTTCCAGACTGTTGAGCTCTCATTTTTTAATTTCGAACGAAGTTATCTCTTTTTTGATATTGTGCCTGTTATACTATTATGTGACAAAACGAGTTTATTAGCTACAAATTGGTTCAAAAAGACATCGAAATCTCCCCATTTTTTCAAAGTTTTCGATCAAATTTTTCGGGTTTTTTCTCTCATTGTGAGTTCAGATTTCTCAATTTCGCATATTCCTTTGGCGATATTTAAATAATTTAATGTGTCGAAACAATTTTTCAAAAAAAAATCACGAATTTTCACTATTTTCGCAGAGTTTTTGCACGATCCCAAGTTTCCTGGGTTCCTAGAATCTCTCCTTTTTCCTCTAATTTTCATTTTTTGACCTCGAAATGTTCTTCTAGTCATCATCGTCTGAAGTTTTGTCATCATTTTCTGCATCCACGTTGTCGACTCTCTTCGCTTCCAGTGCTCTCTTGTTTGTTTTGTCTGGCGCCCCTAATACCTCTACTCCGCTATAAAAGCCCCTCCACCGAGGAACCAATAACATATTTCTCTTTTCTCCCAAACTTCGAATTGAACAAAAAAATATTTTTTCCCTTTTTCAGCTGAGAAAATGGCCTTGAAACTGTCCTACTTTGACATTCGCGGTCTTGCCGAGCCAGTCCGTCTTCTTCTTGTTGACAAACAAGTCGCCTTCGAGGACCATCGCATCGCTCGTGACCAGTGGGCCGAGATTAAGCCAAAGATGGTAAATCCTTCTAAAGAATTTGAGCTTAAAAAATTAAAAAATTTCCAGATCTTCGGACAAGTTCCATGCCTTCTGTCGGGCGATGAGGAGCTCGTTCAATCCGGTGCTATTCTTCGTCATCTCGGACGTGTCCATGGTAAGTTTGAGACTTGTTTTGGATTATACATTCCTTGTTTTTGCAGGTCTTAACGGAAACAATGAGACCGAGACAACATTCATCGACATGTTCTACGAGGGAATTCGCGATTTGCACAACAAGTACGCTCAGATGATCTACGGAAACTACGAGAATGGCAAGGACGCCTACATCAAGGACACCCTTCCAGGAGAGCTCGCCCGTCTTGAGAAGCTCTTCAGAACCTACAAGAACGGAGAGCACTACGTGGCAGGAGACAAGGAAAGCTACGCGGACTACGTGTTGTTCGAGGAGCTTGACATTCATCTCATCCTCTCGCCAACCGCTTTGGATGCAACTCCAGTGCTCAAAAAGTTCCATGAGAGATTCGCCGAGCGTCCGAACATCAAGGCCTATCTCAACAAGAGAGCCGCTATCAATCCACCAGTCAACGGAAATGGAAAACAATAAATTGCTAAACTCTGATCTTCTCGAATTTCCCAGTTTTCACATCTTGTGAATTGTGATCATAAATTATTGCTTGCTATTTACTCATGTAAACTCTATTTATTAGACCCGCCCAAAATTATCAAAAAAAAACCAAAGAACAAAAAAATAAAAAACCCGTAAAAATACAATGAAATCTAGAAACGAAAAAAGAATTAATAGTACTGATAAGATGCCTCCGCATGGTGTCGCATCATCGGCTCGTGCTGGTGCATCGGTGACGCCGTATACCACATTTCGCCATTCGGAAGAGCACTGCATTGAGGATGGAACTGGAAAAAATCAGAATTTTTAGAGAACGTTTCGAGGATTTTAAAAATATTTTAAAGACGAAAATCAAGGGTGGGCGGAGCGTGGGTCCGGTAAATCCTTAAAGACGCATGAGTGTTTCGTAATTATCTTCCGACCTATTTTTTCAACGATTTCAATGAATCAAACAATTTTATCGATACATTTCTTTGTTTTTTTTAATACGATTTTTTGTGGTTTTCAACTTTTTCACAAAAATCGGAAAAATCATAAAAAATCCCATAAAACGACAAACCTCGGAAAATCGTCAAAAGTCGACGAAAAATCGGAAAATAGGCCAGGAACTAAGACCACGTGCTCCTTTAAAGATTTTGCTACCGGATCTAAGCTCCGCCCACTCTCGAGTTTTCACGGCGATTTCTTCGGAACTTCATGTAAATGCGCTCGAATGATAATTTTTCGAAGAGGCGTTGGTCTCGACAAGAAAGCCTCAACTTTAACTGCCGAGTCTTACAGTTTCGTGACTTCATAAAGCTTCACTCCATCAAAAAAAGCGCGGGGAAAAAAATCAAATTTTGAAAAACGATATGGAAAAAACACCGTGATTTTCGGCCGGAACTAGTGCTGGAATTAGACAAGAATACTATCAAAACTTACCGCATCAGAACTCGCTGGATGATATTCCGGGCTATAGTGGAAACTGGTCGGAGGCGTATGCGTTGTATTAGCCATGAAGTGCGGTGGCGATGGTGATGACGTAGATCCATCCGAGGGTGGAGGCGTCAAATGGGTGGAATCTCGAGAAGTCGTGGCGGTGGCCGGTGCTGGTGGTGTTGCTTCCTTCTTTGCCTTTGGTGCTTTCTTGATAGACTTGTAAGATGGTCGCGCTGTTTTTCTTTGATTCTGCTGATGGTGGTGAGTCATTTCCATCGAAAATTCAAGATGCTGTGGAAGATAATTATCGAAGATTTCGACGATATGATGGAAATGATTCGAGAGAGCAAGTTGACGAGCGTTTCGGTCCTAGAAAATATAATAATTGATAAATGAACTGACTTATGAAAAGAGTTAAAACTTACCAATGCATCGACTGCTTCAATACTTGCTCCACTGTGAACCAAAAACATGACAGTCCTTGAATGCCCTTCTCTAGCTGCCAACATAATTGGAGTTCTTCCCTCTTCATCCTGTTTATCCTTATTCGCATTTTGAGAAACCAAATACTCAACCATCGGAAGGTTATCAACCATAGCAGCATAATGAAGAGCAGTCCTTCCTGTATAAATGTTTGAATCCTTCCTGGCAGCTCCATCATAATCAATCTTTGCTCCTTTTGCCATCATCATCTTAACCATTTCAATTTGTTCATCTCCCTCTCTCTCAGCAATATACATCAAAGCAGTCATTCCTTTTCTATCCAATTCATCGATATCTCGAATGATTCTTTTGTCAGTTAGAAGATGTTTCATCATTCGAATGTCCCGATTTGCAGCTGCTTCGTGAAGTGCACTTCTCTCTGATTTATTATAAATCGATGGATCTGCTCCAGCCTTCAACATGTGTAGAACCATTCGAATTCTTCTTGATCTGACTGCCAACATCAATGGAGTATCCTCTTTTGATCCATTTCATTTACATTTGCTCCAGCATCAATACATTCTTTCGCCTCTTTTGCCAACAAATATTCATCTTTACCTGTTGAATTGGCAGCAAGCCAATGGAGAACATTTCGAAGGAAATTTGGATCTCTATACTTGACAGATTCCATTGTAATCCGTTCAGTTATTGGATCTGCACTAGCTGCTTGTTCATGAAGAATACTGTAACACTGATGAATGGAAACTCGATTATTATTTTCAGTTGCAGATCCACCGAAATCAGTAATATAATCGTTTGAAGATTGAGGGAAGAATTGATTGTAATGAGTTGTCATCATGTGTCCATTCTCATAATCTGTTCGATGTCTTTTCGAATCAAAGTATCCAGTTGGATCCAATAAAGAATGTTGACTAGAGTTCATCGATTGATTATGCATTCTTCTATTATTCTTATCTTCATTTTCCATTGGTGGAGTCCAAACTGGTGCATTGATAATCCTTCGTTTCCTATTCCGATTCTCTTTGAGAGTAACTGTTCCAGCAACAACAACAAGCATCATACATCCTCCAGTTAGTACTAGAATCAGATTACTCCACGATGATCCAGATGACTGGGTTCCAGATTTCCGAGGGGTGGATACCAATGCTTCTGAAATCGGGATACCAAAAGAGTTGATTCCTTTCTTGGCAAGTCTTGCGGAGATCAAATCGACAACAGTTTGAGAGTCTTTGTATAGGCATTTAGCATTGATACAATTCTCCTGAACTTCCAAATAGACAACCACTCCTTCTCCTCCAACACTTCGAATCTTTCGAACAGAAGACGATAGAATATTTTGTTCTGTTAATTTCTCACATCCATTTCAACTCGCTCTCTTTCATTCTCTCCATCCCATTCAAATACCAATGGTCCTTTTTCATCTCTTTGAATCCTGACTGTTGCACGAAGAGCTGCACTGATTTCCATTAAAGATTTTCCTCCATTCGCTTGGAATTCAGATGGATCCATTTGTACTGTTATTCTGATGTCCGTTAGATAAGCCTTCGTTTCTGTTTGATTGGTACAATCTCCACCATCAAATCCACATCCAACTGTATCACATTCCGAATCACACACACCATTTGAATATCTTCCAGCACAATATTCTCGAATCTTCGCAGGACATCTGACTACACCCGGCATACAATCCATTCCATCATAAAGGCATTCTTCATTATTACATGCTTGATTACAGACTCCATTAGAAAATAAATCAGCACACATATTTCCATATCGACACTTCGAAAATGGCTCTCTTTTTCCAGAACAATCTCCTCCATCGAATTTACAGGCAGCATAATTACAGTCTGAATCACAGTTTCCGTCCTTTGCACGTTCCCAACATTTCCGTTTCTCACAGACAGATCGGAGTAAACTGAAATTAAATATTTTGAATTAATTAATAGAATTCCAATGAAAACTTACAATTCCTTCTCACTGAACATTCCCAAATTGATCTTCTCTTCACATCGAATTCCAGTATATCCATAAGAACATTCACATTTTGAAGATTTTTTATCTCGAAGACAAATTCCTCCATTTTTACATGTGTTATTGGTACAGAAGAATCGTTTTTCGAGTTCACATCGTTCTCCATAGAATCCATTTGGACAGTCACACGAGAAAAATTCACGATTGTCTTGATGACAGATTCCACCATTCGCACATGGATTCTCAAGGCACCGATCTGAATAAAAGAATTCCAGGATGTTGTGAAAACTAAAACAATCACTTACCTTTACGTCGCTCACAAATATCTCCTTCGAATCCTTGTTGACACAGACAAACGTAGCCAATATGTGCATCTACATCAATACACGTGGCATTATTCAGACATGGATCCGATTTGCATAGATTCTCAAACGACGTCATCACTTCCTTCCTTGGAACATCACATTGATTTCCAGTGAAATCTGGAGGACAAACACAGAATCCACCGAGACATTGTCCTCCATTAAAACATTTTGGACCGCTATCTGGAACAGATTCCAACAGATATTTTAAGATCACATCGTACTCCTGGCGAATCCTAAAGGACATTCCTTTTCACATCGTTTTCCAATAAATCCATTTCGACATTGACAGACTGGAGACTTATCATAAGTTGGGAAACAAGTGCCTGCATTTTCACAATGAACATCCTGACATACATTCAGTGCTTCATCACACCATTTTCCACCGAATCCACGTTTACAATCACATCGGAAGGATCCAGGAAGATTGACACAAGTCCCATTGTTCATACAAACATTTGACATTTGACATTCATTTTTATCCACATCACATAACTCTCCTTCCCATCCTGTATTACATTGACATTCGAATGATTTTTCAGATAATGGACTATCGATACAGGTACCGTAGTTACAGATTCCTGGAATCGCTGAGCAATCCATTTTATCACAAAATTGACCAGTTTTTCCTGGTGGACAATCGCAAAAGTATGAATTCTGATCGTTGATACATTCGGATCCACGGGCACATTCGTTTCCAATACAGTGATTTTTTCCGATTTCACAAAATGATCCACTGAATCCATCATCACAAAGACACATGAATCCACCAGCAAATGAAGAACAAGTACCATGGATACATTGATTTTTCGAGCAGTTATCGATTTTAGAACTTTCGGGAGATGGAGATATCTCACAAGTGGATCCTTTGTATCCTGGTGGACATTCACATTTTCCACCATTTGATTTATCACAGTATCCTCCATTTTGACAGTATCTACTGATTCCTTTCGGATATTCTGGAGAGGCTTCCACGAAGCATACGGTAGGTTTGAACTCCACACTTGATGAGTTTCCAGGGGTTAGACAATCAGGTGGAAGGAATCCTTGAGGACATACACACAGATATGAACCATTCTGAAAGAATTCTTTTGTGAAATGGATTACTGTAACTGGAATCTTTTTTCTTCAGGTACTGTAGGCTTACGTAATTCTGTAGCTATGTTATTCTGGATTACAATAACTACAGTAACTTTCTCCTAATCCTAATCTTAAACCGGAAGAAAAGTCAGTTACTAGACACTCTCTTGAGATTATTACATAATTATGTAAGCAAACATCTATACCGGAAGAATTCTATATTTGCACGCCCTTGAATATATGAATTCTTTTTTTTTTGAAGGATAGATATTCTGAATCACAAAAACGAAAGGCGGCATGTTTTTTATTCTTCTGTGTGTTTCTTTCGCTTCGCATCGACAGCTGCACGAGGAGAAAACAGAGAGGCATACGGTAATTAATGGGAAAGTGTGAAAAAAACAAAGATCTCGATTTGTTTTAATTTTTAACAAAGTAAAACTTTTGATTCTAATTTCTGCTGTTTTTGATTTGTCTGATCAAATAACCACTATGTATCAGTTACCGTAAACACTCTCAAAAAAGGCTACTCCATACTTTCACTTTGAGCTCGATTACCTCAAATTCTATAAGAGATATCAAAAACCTGTCAACTGATAAAATGTTGATGACATTATAACAAACATTTTATCAGTTAGACAAAACTTTGATATTTCTCATAGAAATGGAGATAATTGAGCTCAAAGTGCAATTATAGGGTCGGTTTTTATTAGAGCTTATGGGGTTACTCTGAATAACCCAATTACAGACTCTCTACATTTTCATAATTTCACCTCCTATCCTCAAAACTAACCATATTTATACAAGTGCTCCTTGGACTACAATCATGATTATTCGTTTGACATTCATTCACATCCTCATCACATTTCGATCCTTTGAATCCAGTCGGACAGATACACGTGGCATTCTGTCCATTCCCAACACATTTTCCTCCATTCTGACACTTGTCTTCTGAGTAATAACACCATCCACGATTCTGACATTTTTCTCCTGCAAAAAAGTATTCATGTTAATCCCTAAACTATTCATTGAGGGGGTCATCTTTCGGGTTTCCCAGAAGTATCGAATTCGCAACAAATAGAAAAGGAAGGGGGCAACAGTTGGACTACACGGAGATCAAAAAGTTTTGCCGACTCAGAAGAAGAGATGACAAACTCATTTCTTTTTGTTGAAGAACTACTTTGAATACCGCATCTTTTTAGTTAGTTTCTAATTGAAAAATCGAGGCTTTTTATTGAGAACGACTAGGTTGAAACTTTTGACAATACGCCTAATTTGATAAGCTAATTTGAAGCTAGAACATCTTTAAAAATCTAGAAAGAGGATTAAAATGTTGTTGGCTCAAACCCCACTTTCCGTAAGTAGCTTTCTTCTTGATTTTGTAGTTGAAAAGTTTTGATTTTTCAAAAAATGTATCTTCTCCCATTATGGCCTTTTTTGAAAAAAACTTTCAATGTGTGTCAATTTAATTCTCCGCCGGAAGTTTGTTTTTTTTCTCCCTTTTCATGGTTTTTTCTTTGTAATAGGTCATTATCACCCCTCATTAAGCACTCTTCAAAGGTGTCAATGTTATGAGAGAGATTGAAGGAAATTACGCAACAGGAGACTTTTTTGAGATTCCAATCTTAATACAGTACCCGACAAAACATATGGTATTACATCCTCTTCTTTTCGGATACGGTTTTAATTAGATTGCGTTTGGATGAAATGGCCTACGAAACTCTTTTGGGAGGAAAGAATCAGATCATGCTTCAGAAGCAGTCCCTTGTAATCTAAACACCGTAGCGATTCTACACTTTCCAGCCAGAAACCGTTCCCACGACCTTCTTCTATCACGCGAAGAAAAGTGTGTCTGACTAGAGACGCCAGTACCGTTGGATCTCTAATTATAGAGTGAAATGATCATGAAACCCGAAGATGACGATGAAGATGATCAGTGTTGACGGTTCTTTCTCTCGAGAGGAGTCATCATGAGAAAGTCAACAGTTGGACAAATGTTTTGAGAACCTAGAGACGGGAAATGTCACAGTATCCAAAAGTATTTGTGTACAGTACTCTCATTAGAAGGCTTTATACGTTAAGGAATGGTACGGTATATCAGAAAAGGAACTAGTTACTTTTAAGCTACAGTATTCTTTATGTTATTTTAGTTAAACTAACTATACTACATACCCATGTCTAATCTCCCCTCCTAACCATATTTCTGACTAATAAGTTTGCTCTCAAATGGTCTCGGGAGACGTGTTGTGCAATCGGAACCGATAATTATAGGGCGCATTTGCTACATTGTTTGATTAGAAGTTTTCGGGAGAAATTGGTTGCGTTAAACTACTTGTAATGCACAAGTACAGTAGTACTTACCTCCATATCCATCTGAAAAATTAGGATGACCCAATTGGGATGTTCATATTGGGAAGATTGATTTGGTAGAGAACAGGGATACTGTAGTTAGGGAAGAAGATCAAAGTAATTCAATTTCTGCGTTCTACGGTGAAAGAGTTGAATGTTCTTGTTCACTTAATTTAGCCAAAGATTAGCCCCTCAAATTTGATTTTCCATATTTCATTCAAATCCCAATAAATCTACACTTTCCCACGCCTTCTCCATACATCATACCGGTTGTCTTTGATTCTTCAAAAAACCAATGATTTACACACTTCATCAAACATCTGCTCTACTTTTTAGGTGACTTTCCATTCCCTCAAAATTTGGCAACACCACGGGCGGGGCGCCATCGGGTCGCACGGCCGTTCCTTACAAAAAAAGAACATTGGTCATAAATTGTGTTCAAAAGAGATGTGGTTGAGAACGGGCGGGACACAAGAAGTGTGTGTGAAAATGACCAAGGCCTTCTTTTAGAATCTTCTTAAGAGCAATTTATCAGGATCTGGTTCATTTTTAAGAGAGACAGGGGCGCCGAAAAGACAAATGAGCTGTATGGTGCGGCCGAAAAACGGACGGTATGGTCGGAGGAACAATTTGTCGTTGTTGGCCAAAGAGGTGACAAGAAATATTACACCTTATGTTGGTACCTATAGTGAAGAAGAAATACTTGGATTTCGAAATGTTTTCTTGAACCTTTCAAAATATGACACCTGAATAGTAAGTTTCAAATGCCTGTCTGTTTATCTGTTTATCTAGATTTCCAGAATCTAAAAAACTTCAAAATGCCCTTTTCCTATTTTTTCATGTCCCTCCGAAGCCCTGATGATGAATGGAGTGGTCACTAGAATATCCGACAAAAAGGGGTGACATGGGGCAGCAGATGCTCCGGAATTTCATTCGCAACATGTCCCCAAAAAAAAAGAGGGAAACGAGTGACCGCCCGTGTCAGGGGGTCTAAAAATGAGTGATGGGTTTTTAGGTCCCCATGGGAAAAAGCAAGACGGATTTTCAACCTTATGGTAAAGGACATGTTTTATATTTTTTAGAAAGAGTTCTCACCTTTACAAACACATAATGTTGCTTGATTCTCTTCGTTGTAGACACATTTTTGATTGGAATCAAAAGTCAATGGACACCTTTTCTCGCAAAATGAACCGTAGGAGCCGTCGTTGCATCTGGAAAATATTTCAGATTAGTTTAGAAATTTTGAGTTTTGAAGTTCGAGATTTTCATTTACTATTTGGAATACACAGACTACGGAAAAAAATACACAGACCCCTCTCAAACAGGTGATAAGACCTTCCATTCAGATGACGTTCCCTTCAGAAGACCAGTCTTTTTTTGTTGTCTTCTCATTTCCATTTTCCCATGTCTATAAACTACCGATTTAGGGAAGAGGAGATTTTTTCGAAGCTTGACAAAAAAGGGAGGAAATGAAAAGAAAAGCTTCCCGATGAATTCTAATGAGAAGGGTTAATTGGGTGGTCTTGGTGGGAACAAAAAAATCTGAAGAGAAGATGAAGACGGGAATTTGGAGTAAAGGGGTACGGTAGTTTTTGGAAAGAGCTCCAGAATCCAGAACCAAACAGTAGAAGCAGTCTGAAATTTTTCTAATGAGGATCTAAAAAAACTTTTTTTCAAAGAATTTCAATTTTTCTAATTCCGAAAAACGGAAAATTGAAATTGAGATCCACATTCAAACCTTCGAAATTTCATAATCAAAAACTTTTCGAAGTTTCTCGAAACTTTCAAATTCGGATGTGTTTTTATCAATAGAGCGACCTTGCTCCTTTGTCACTCCTATCAATTCCCGAACTATCCGGAACAGGTGTTCATTTTCCCCCAAAACAAGCTTCATTCCTATCTCTCTTCTCCCCCAGACCCTCCTATCTCGTTTTCCCATCACCCCCACTGAAGAACAAGAAAAAAAGAAAAGTTCGTTTTTTCTTCTACAGGATGCAGGTGTCCCTTGTTCTACCCATTACTCTCTCTCCTCTCTCTCTCTCTCTCTCTCTCTCTCTCTCTCTCTCGTGTTGCGCAAGTTTTCGATGGGGAACAAGAGGAGAAACTATGGAAAGAGGAAAATATGTCTTTGTTTAACTAATTATGTTGCATTGGGAGAAAAAAGAGAGACACGTGTCAAGTAGGACCATAAAGTTATCTTATCAGTGTGAGCATGCCGCCCATAAATTAGAATCAGAGTTGGTTACGTAATCTTTGTTTTGTACTAGGGGGAGGGTTGGATTCTAGGAGAAGTAACAGAAACTAGATAACGTTGAGCAGAAGTTGGTACAAAAATATGTGATGAAAAATGATAGAAAGGAAGTTACAAAAAAAAACCAAAAACTTTCAAGGGAGTTACTTGAGGAAGCAGGTTTAACTTTTTTGAAATTTTGGGAGCAGATAGAAGAGCTTATGAGGATTCCAAATCTGTTTAAAAATCAGCAAAATGCTCACGTGAGCTGAGTTATGACCTAGAAAAGTTTCCCTATGATTAAGCAATTTCTCGTGAAATTTTTTTCACGGAATAGTGTATTTCTTTTAAAACAATAGATTTCTATCAGCAGTGTGGTAACGTGGTAAAATGGCAAATTCAGAGGAGGAAGGTTGTAGGTTCGATTCTCCCTATCCCAAAAATTTTGCAAAATTGTTTTGTTTTATTTTAAGCTGCCATAACTGGCTCTGGAATAAAATTTACGCAATTTAAACATGTTTTTCGGGAGTTTCTCGTTATGAATAGGCATTTTCCAGAATAAAAACAGACATTTAATTTTTGAAGAAATTCACAAATATGCTCATGGGTTCATCGAAGATTTTTCAAATTTTTTTTTCAAATTTTTTTTGTTTATTTTATTGAAAAAAACAGTTGAGGATTCTAAACACATCGGTGGCATTCGATGACAAACTGCTGGAAACATATGTTCTTGGCACAATACGCGCATTTGACCATTGACAATCTTTTGCACCCAGATAACTTGCACTTTCCATGAACTTTCCGGTCGAAGCAATATTGAATTGGTCTGTCACATTTCGGAGCGCAACTGTCCACATAACCGCCAGAATACTAGGCATACTGTCTCCATTCTTGGAAGATGGGAGAGCACATCTGCCAATATGCTTGGCTCAGCATCTGCAATCAAAAAATGAGGGCATTCCTCTGGATCTTGTCAGGATCAAGCTCTTGATAAGGACATGTTTCAAGACTGGTTTCTTCATACGATTCCAGATTTCCATCTTCGTGTTGCTGGAGCAATGAGATGATTCTGTCCGCCAGTTTCTGATCCGTCCTTTCCAGTTTTGGCTTCTTCGGTTGATGTTTAAAAACGGCAAGGACATGCAGGAGGATGAGCAAGGTTGTTGTCATGATTAATGGTTCAATGAGGACCAGATAACTTCTTTTATAGGGGTTTTGAGCCGAAGCCAACTCATCCAACAATTATGACATGCTTGAGGTCACCAAAAAAAGAAAGAAAAACAAAAAAAAATTGAAAAAAAAATTTGAAAAATCTTCGATGAACCCATGAGCATATTTGTGAATTTCTTCAAAAATTAAATGTCTGATTTTATTCTGGAAAATGCCTATTCATAACGAGAAACTCCCGAAAAACATGTTTAGATTGCGTAAATTTTATTCCAGAGCCAGTTATGGCAGCTTAAAATAAAATAAAACAATTTTGCAAAATTTTTGGGATAGGGAGAATCGAACCTACAACCTTCCTCCTCTGAACTTGCCATTTTACCACTTTACCACACTGCTGATTGAAATATATTGTTTTAAAAGAAATACACTATTCCGTGAAAAAAATTTCACGAGAAATTGCTTAATCATAGGGAAACTTTTCTAGGTCATAACTCAGCTCACGTGAGCATTTTGCTGATTTTTTAAACAGATTTGGAATCCTCATAAGCTCTTCTATCTGATCCGAAAATTTCAAAAAAAGTTAAACCTGCTCCCTCAAGTAACTCGCTTGTTAGAAAAACTACTAACCTGCACCAAAACGTAGTTTGTGTTCCATTGATTGGTCCAATTTGACAGTTTCCATTCGATCCACATGGTGATCCAATGCATGATCCATTATGAAGAGCCAAGCAGTTGGAGACCAAAAAAAGCAAAAATCCTAAAATTCGCATCTTTTCCTATATTTTTGTAGATGTGCGTAGTTTAGATATGGCTCATTTAGGGTGGGGAGGATCTGGAAAATCATAAATTAAGAATCTTCGAGAAGCTTGGTAATGAATAAAAAATGATAATGAAAAAAAGAGATAAATCAATTAATGATGATGACCTGGAGACAAGAAATAATAACAATCGTCTGGTGGTGCACTATAGGGCATAGGAGAGGGAGAGAGAGAGACACACAGAGGAGGATGGACCACACCGCAAGCTCCGCCCACTTGGTCACCCCAGAGGAAAAGAGAGTGAGGAGGACTGGGGGAGAGGTTTTTTGAAAAAAGAAGAGGGTGATTTTTGAAATGAACGAGAAACATCAGATGGGTAGAACTGAAGGGAGGAGGAGGAATGGGAACGGACGGGAAATGAAAGACTGGTTGATGGGAACCTTATCGGCTTTCGGGGTGATCATCAAAAAGGAAATATATGAATCATTTCAGAGAACCCGTGTTACGTAGTGTTTGTTTTACTTCTCTCTGAATGGGAGTTTTTACCGGGATACTGTATTCTAAACTAGAAAATGAAAGAAGGTTCTAAAAAGGACTCTATTGCGAAATGTTGAAACTTCTGAGGGATTGTCGTCTGCTCTAAAAATCGGTAGTTGACAAGGATGACATAGTGATTTACGTTTTAGAGCTCCCAGTTCACAGGATCGTAAAATATTGACCAAAAAATCTAGGAAGTTTTAGCTCTGACAGTAATTCAACATACGTGATTAGGAACATTAGGCTACCTACTACAACTGGGAACTGTGTCTTCAGTTCATCCGAACTCATCTTCACATCAGAGTTTACCGTAATAATCGTAAAAAAACAACACATAATTTTTGGTCTTTGTTTCCTCCCCGCGGTTTCCCATGCCTATAAATCAAGTCAAGAGGTTGGATGGCAACTAATCCGACCGACAGTTCAAATCCTCCGACAATAAGGTTTTTGACATGCGCGCCACATAATCAAATGGTTAGAGCACCTGGCATGAAAAAGAGGAAGAATCAAAATATTTGTGGAAATTGAATTTAGGAGGAAAGTGTGATCGTGGGATGATGAGAGCAAATTGTTTGGAGGGACTCATGTGAGAGTATGGGAAAACGGAAGTGTTGGGAAGATCTGGAAAGGAGTAGTTAGAAAATACAGTAATTTTTGGCCTCATGTGAAGAGAGGGTATGATGAAATAGGACCAATTTGTGAAATCCTCAAACAATACATCTTATGGTTCAGATGTGACACTTGGTTGGAGATACGGGTGGGACCAACATTAGGATGGCATTTAGAGCAAATCGTTTGGATGGGATTCAAGTGAGAGTATGGGAAAACGGAAGTGGTGGGAGAACCTAGCACCGGTTACAGTATGCCGGACCAAAAAGACAACAGGAGTAATAGTGACTCGTGCGTGCGAGGGTATGATGAACTAGGACCGATTTGTGCCCTTCGAAAAGTTCTGGTTCAGATCTGGTTTAGATGTGGCACCTGGTAGAAGATGGGAGTGGTGACCAACATTTGGATCGCCTTTCCAGGGGTGAGAGTGAGTGGGAGAGAGAGAGAGAGAGGGAAGTAGGTATGCTCGGATTATAGATTATGAAAACCTATAGGATCGGACTCAGTAACCTGTAGGAACCTAGTTGGGACTGAAGGATATTTATAGAAGCATTTCTAGTTGGTCTTTTTAGAATTGTACCATTTTATAGAAGTAAAAGCGTTATGCATCCCACATTTTCTGCAGAATTTGAAGGTTTTATTTCGTTGTTCAACTCCAAAATATTTGAATTTTGGTAAGTTTTTTCTGATAGTAAAAGATATGAAAAAGAGAAGAAAGGGAAATCGTGAAATCAGATGAAAAACAACAAAAAGATATCGAAACATCGAGAGAGGTTTCTGGAGAAAACTATGGAAAAAAATATTTTGAGAGAAAAAGGTTACGGCCTTCCTGGAAGACAATAACAAATTACTGTCATTTGTCACAATAAAATACACGATCAGGTCATAACCGGGACACCTATGATTCGATTACTGTAGTATGAGTCATCCTGAAGGTGACACTCAATGTTTTTTTCGGCTCCAGGGAACAAAGATTTTCAATGAGTTTTAAAAATTATGGGAACATACACAATAACTGTCTGGGAATTAGGGTAATTGACAGGTTAGATTTGGAGTTATGATTCTTGAAATAGGTGAGAAAGTTTGTATTCTGGAGGGGAAAGGTTAAAAAAGGGTGGTACTATTTTGTGGGCTCTTCTGGGGAGTTATTTGAATGTATCCAAATGCCAAAATCTTTATAAAAGGACAAGGAGGGTGCACTATTTGCTGAGAAAAGAAATTCATCATAAAGAGAGATACCGCACCAAGGGATGGGTCCTCTTCCAATGTCAAAGTCGCGCCCCAGATAACTTTCGGAATTTCAATTTTCATAAAGCTGGAGTTTTGAATTTCATGAATTTCCAATTTCAATTAACAAGTTTATCGATTCCATCGAATTTTTCAACGAATTCCATTTTACTTGCCCCTCGCCGTATCATCTTTCGACGCCATTTTCATGAGAGATAAATAAAAAAGAAATGGAAATCATTGAAAGTAATTGATGAAACTGTTAAACTGATAAGAAAGTTATCTGTACCGAACGATGTCCCCATCTCGGTCTATTTCTTTTATCACTTTCGATTTTGACCGTGCCAGCAATCATTTTTCTCTTTTTTAACCTGGAGAAATACTTTCTAGTATTACTTTTCCATTTACTGCAAAATGTCAGCTGCTCTACCAGATATAGTTGAATGTCCTATATTTATCACAGAATGCTCCGAGCCAGCCAAGAGTACAAAAGGCAAGAAATCAGCATACTAGGGAATAAGTTCTGAATTTTCAGTTTCGTGTCCAATCTGTTTGAAGATTTATGCTGACAAGTTGAATCTGGAGAGACATATCGAGAGGATACATGTGAGAAAAGTTAGAAATGCTCAGATGAAAAAGGAGGATCTGGAGAGGAGAAGAACTGGTGAGATTACTGTACTACTGTTTATTAGATGCATTCTTTTTTCAATTTTTGGTGTATTGTAGTCAAGCTGCGACTTACAGTAACCTTGAGACACTTGTCAGCATTTAGAGAAAACGTTCCCGATAAAGTTGCAAAAATCTTGCTAGTATGCAAATTTCTGATGTGGCTGAACTGAGTCAATACTACTCCGTTCCAGTAAACGCATATGACTACTACAGTATTCCCAATTTATTTCCAGTGGTGTGTCCTGTGTGTTGTACCTGCTATACCACAAGAAATGTGGTCAAACGACATCTGGAAAGAATCCATCATGCAACACCAGAATTCATACAAAATTGGCTTTCAGAAACAAGTCCAAAGGGTGAAAAGTGTGAGTATCATAGTCATAATCATCCTGATAATTGACCCCACAAATAAGACTATTCCAGACAACTGCCAGACTTGTGGAGAGCATTACCTGAATCATACGTTTCACCAGAATCGGCAAATCGAAATACATCAGGATGAAACTAAAAAACGTAATTTTCCATAAATAGCTAACAGGATTTAAATGGGATTTTAGATTTCTGTCGCTTTTGCCGTCGATGGTATTCCTCGAAACAAGTCCTTTACCGACATCAAAGAGCCCAACATCTGAAAGAGTTTGCGATCGAAGTGAAATTGACAAAACCCAAGAGTTTTATGATCAGGGATATTCTTGGAATCGAGTAGTCACAATAAGATAATAATGTAAAAGTATGTATATCCTACTTTTTAAAGGATTAAAAAAATAAACTTTCTTGAATTCCATATTTTTGTATACACTCTTTATAAGCACGGTAATTTTGCCTCCACCTGAACTATCAGGTTCCAGAAATATGTGTGTTTCTTGAAATTTCCTTGACATCAGAATCCGTTACTGCCTCTGAACGGTCTGCCAAAGATTCGATATATCCAAGCTCGGACGACTTCTCTCTCCGAAATTCAACAAAAAATTGAAATGATTAACTGACACGGCTAGAATTGATAACGTCGACTGACTGATTTTGCCGACGTCCTCTCGATTGAAAGAGAGATGGCGGACATCGTTCGGGTGCAGATAACATTCTTATCTATTTAAAACTTTTTTTCCATTTTTTTCTTTTATTCTCATGGAAACGGCGCCGAAAGATGATACGGCGAGGGGCAAGTAAAATGGAATTCGTTGAAAAAATTGATGAAGATGGAATCGATAAATTTGTCAGTTGGGCTGGGAAGATATAACACTGTGTCTGTGATTTGGACCAATAACATTGAGAAAAAAGTATTTCATAATTTTTTGTCAAATGTTTAGTTAGAAGATTTTCATAATTTCTCAATTTGGCACTACATACTGCTCGGTTAGTTCCAACGACGGATATTCAGATCTGAAAAATTGAAAAAGTTTCAGAGAATCTAAAACGATTTCTCTGAATTATCGATTTGTATCGGATCTGATCGACCGGTGTTTCGATAGTTTTCCGAACAGTCAATGGTCGTTTTTATTCGATTAGGCAACGTTTGAACAATATTTAAAACAGGGCGGACATGAAAAAAATTCTCGAAATTTCATTCATATATGCCCCCTCGAGGAGTTGGACTTGTTGGCCAATCGTTGGAGGTACCGTGTTAGCAGCTGAGCTATGGTACACCGTCACGCCTGCATACCGTAACTCCCGAAAAAAAAAACGCTTCCCATCCAACTCCTCCTCCCCCCTCCCAAAATGTACAAATCAACACCCGAGATACATTAAATTCCTCAATTGCCAATCCCATCCAAGTTGGCGGAAACACCATGTGGTGAAAGTGATTTTTCATCGATTCTATGTCACTTTTTTATTTGAGATATTGAATTCAGAGGTTGATGGGAGATAGTTAATGGGAAAAACAACATGTGGTTGGTGAAGAGCGAATGAATAAGAAACCTCTTTTTATTTCATTGTAAATGACTATGGGAAAAGGGTCTGCTGGGGACCAAATGTGCGGTAATTTTTGGTGAAATTTTTGGCTATCGGTTTTTGAATTTTTTAAGAAATTTTAAAAAGGCAAACATATCAAAAGTTGGCTGAAAGTCAGAAAAACCATATACGGTAAAACCTGTAATGGAATGGCCCCTGACTTTCAACTTTGGGTCAATTTTTCTGGATTCCTGTCGATGGTGTAAGAAAGTGGTCCATTGGTAAATTGTTTTTCATAATTTCAGCAATTTTTTGTCAGTTAATATATTTTTGATATCTCTCATAAAAACCGAGATAAATAAGGTCAAAGTTGACGGGTCGAGTGGGCATCTAAGAGAGGAAATACGGTGATTGTTAGGGCCTGAATATGTTCGATCATCGGTTAATTGTTGAATATTTTCCAATTTTCGTACTCCTTTCAGAAGAGTTGATCTCAAATTATATTGTTCTCGATTCAAATATTCCCTCAAAATATGCCGAAAATGCCGAAAGAGGACCCATCCCTTGGCGCGGTATCTCTCTTTGTGATGAATTTTTTCTCAGCAAATATTGCAGTCTTTTTTGCCCTTTTTGGCATTTGGATTTTCAAATGCAGAGGGAAAACTTGTCACAGAAGAGTCTCACCTCGAACTCCTGACCTTTTCACCCACAGTCCAAACTTTTTCATACATTTCAAGGATCATACTCCAAGTTCACCCTGTCAATTACCCCCATTCCCAGACAGTTATCGCACCTGTTCCCAAAATTTTAAAACTTATCGGGAATCTTCATTCCCTGGAGCCCACAAAATATTGAGGGTCACCTTTAGGATGACTGATACTACAGTAATCGAATCATATGTGTCCCGGGCATGGCCTGATCGTGTATTTAATTGTGACAAATGACAGTAATTTGTTATTGTCTTCCAGGAAGGTCCGTCTCTCACAATCCTTCAAAATATCACACTTTTTTCCAGAAACTTCTCTCGATGTTTCCATATCTTTTTGTTGTCTTTTTTCATCTGATTTCACTATTTCCTTTCTTCTCGTTGTTCCTATCTTTTACTATCAGAAAAAAAACGTTTTTGTCAAAAAGCTTCTGTGTTTGTCCTCCCCTTTACACCCCCTCGTATTTTTTGGGCTTCCCGTTTTTCTCCAAACTGATTCATTCATTCAGCCCACAATTCAAAATATTTATCAAATATTTCTCGGTTCGATTGTCAGATGCTCTCGTGTTTTTGAAATGTTTTGGTGGGGTCATAGAGTATGATAGTAGAACGACCAAGAAGCAATGACGAAGTTTGGAAACGCCCGGATTGAACTATTGTTCAAAGGCATACGTACCGTAAACCTGTTTTTGAAGGGCCCCTCTAATTGCAGTGCCCCCTAGAGATCCCACGAAATGTTAAAGAATCGGCTCATCTAATGTGCACAGCGTTTAAGGTAGTTCCAAGAGGTCCCAATGGTCCGTCAACGTTCAGTCAGTTCTCCTTTGGCTACCAGCACATCAGTCATTCACTAATTTGTCCCTCTTCAGCTGTCAGTGATCCTTTACTCGTTATAAACTTTTGGGGGAGGATTCCGTCAGAAATGTCTCGAATTTTAGCCTCGGAGACGATCATTTTTATCTTTGTTCGGGTACTGTATCTTCCAAATGTACAGTGTTATTACAACAACGCTTTTACTTCTATAAAATGGTACAATTCTAAAAGGACCAACTAGAAATGCTTCTATAAATATCCTTCAGTCCCAACTAGGTTCCTACAGGTTACTGAGTCCGATCCTATAGGTTTTCATAATCTATAATCCGAGCATACCTACTTCCCTCTCTCTCTCTCTCTCCCACTCACTCTCACCCCTGGAAAGGCGATCCAAATGTTGGTCACCACTCCCATCTTCTACCAGGTGCCACATCTAAACCAGATCTGAACCAGAACTTTTCGAAGGGCACAAATCGGTCCTAGTTCATCATACCCTCGCACGCACGAGTCACTATTACTCCTGTTGTCTTTTTGGTCCGGCATACTGTAACCGGTGCTAGGTTCTCCCACCACTTCCGTTTTCCCATACTCTCACTTGAATCCCATCCAAACGATTTGCTCTAAATGCCATCCTAATGTTGGTCCCACCCGTATCTCCAACCAAGTGTCACATCTGAACCATAAGATGTATTGTTTGAGGATTTCACAAATTGGTCCTATTTCATCATACCCTCTCTTCACATGAGGCCAAAAATTACTGTATTTTCTAACTACTCCTTTCCAGATCTTCCCAACACTTCCGTTTTCCCATACTCTCACATGAGTCCCTCCAAACAATTTGCTCTCATCATCCCACGATCACACTTTCCTCCTAAATTCAATTTCCACAAATATTTTGATTCTTCCTCTTTTTCATGCCAGGTGCTCTAACCATTTGATTATGTGGCGCGCATGTCAAAAACCTTATTGTCGGAGGATTTGAACTGTCGGTCGGATTAGTTGCCATCCAACCTCTTGACTTGATTTATAGGCATGGGAAACCGCGGGGAGGAAACAAAGACCAAAAATTATGTGTTGTTTTTTTACGATTATTACGGTAAACTCTGATGTGAAGATGAGTTCGGATGAACTGAAGACACAGTTCCCAGTTGTAGTAGGTAGCCTAATGTTCCTAATCACGTATGTTGAATTACTGTCAGAGCTAAAACTTCCTAGATTTTTTGGTCAATATTTTACGATCCTGTGAACTGGGAGCTCTAAAACGTAAATCACTATGTCATCCTTGTCAACTACCGATTTTTAGAGCAGACGACAATCCCTCAGAAGTTTCAACATTTCGCAATAGAGTCCTTTTTAGAACCTTCTTTCATTTTCTAGTTTAGAATACAGTATCCCGGTAAAAACTCCCATTCAGAGAGAAGTAAAACAAACACTACGTAACACGGGTTCTCTGAAATGATTCATATATTTCCTTTTTGATGATCACCCCGAAAGCCGATAAGGTTCCCATCAACCAGTCTTTCATTTCCCGTCCGTTCCCATTCCTCCTCCTCCCTTCAGTTCTACCCATCTGATGTTTCTCGTTCATTTCAAAAATCACCCTCTTCTTTTTTCAAAAAACCTCTCCCCCAGTCCTCCTCACTCTCTTTTCCTCTGGGGTGACCAAGTGGGCGGAGCTTGCGGTGTGGTCCATCCTCCTCTGTGTGTCTCTCTCTCTCCCTCTCCTATGCCCTATAGTGCACCACAAGACGATTGTTATTATTTCTTGTCTCCAGGTCATCATCATTAATTGATTTATCTCTTTTTTTCATTATCATTTTTTATTCATTACCAAGCTTCTCGAAGATTCTTAATTTATGATTTTCCAGATCCTCCCCACCCTAAATGAGCCATATCTAAACTACGCACATCTACAAAAATATAGGAAAAGATGCGAATTTTAGTTGTTTTGCTCTTTTTGGTCTCCAACTGCTTGGCTCTTCATAATGGATCATGCATTGGATCACCATGTGGATCGAATGGAAACTGTCAAATTGGACCAATCAATGGAACACAAACTACGTTTTGGTGCAGGTTAGTAATTTTTACTGATTTTTAGATCCATTTTTAGACATCCGTGTCAGGTGCCTCTCTGAATCATTTCGAAAATCTCCTAAAACCTTAAAATCATGATTTCGAAAATATTCGGGTTCTCTAGGTTTCAAAATATGTAACTGTTAGTATCCTTTTTCGAAAAAATTAGGATCCGAATTGCAGATTTTTCGGATTGTTGTGCAAAACGTCCTGAAATATTTTCT